TTGATGCATACCGTTTCGAGGAAGCTAACTCGTATGTAAGTTCAGTTGCATATTACTTCGCATCACACAAGACATAGTACCTTGGTCAAGTTCTCGTGTTTGAGAAAAAAGAATGTTGCTTTTTGGAAGTCTCATTGACTCGATCTTACTCTCACCACTAGACCATGGCAGTCATATTTCCCCTATCGCCATTGGACGAGTTACACTGCCACCGGGCTAATCTTTTGCCATTAGTTGTCTAATCTCTAGGAACCAAAAAATGAACCAAATATACCTATATAAATATAAATATACGCTTAATTACAAGTGCATGTTATATAAAATGCCCAGACATGCTTTCATGTTCAAAGTCTACTTTAATCCAGTGCTCAATTTGCGGTTCTAAATAAGCCTGCTTGAATGTTTTCTGTCTATCACATTTCAGGAATATTGCTAAACACGTCACAGAATTCGTATTGCACGGAATCGGTGTACTTCTCAACTGCGTAGACCTTACAAGGCTGCTTTCACTCTCAAGTGCTCTTGCGGTTTGTCTTAATACGTCGCTAAGGCTGTAAATTAAGCATTATCAACTGAAATCCCACATATAATTAAATCCATTTAGAACACCAAGATACTTCCATTGACATGTCTGCTATGAAGCCTCTTGCTGGACTTTCGACTATACATTGAATTGACTGCAGTGAAGAGGCAATGATATAGACTCTAGAATGTGCATCTCAACAGAGTACATTTCTCAAGCACAATCCCACAATGTTGGCAGGCGACCAACACGATGCCCACGAAAGCCTTGTGAAGCTGTTGAATGCTATCGTTACTATTGTGAGTGTGCCTCACTTCAACTGTAAAATACGTCACGTTTCAAGATAAGCATGAATTTCAGTCCTAATCTGTGCATTGAAAAAAGCCTTCTTTTAAGGACACGCATTGGACACCACAACGAGCTTTGATTGAAAATACCAGGAAATGTCAACAGTGCCAGCAGGCTGGCCGTTAGCAATTATTTCTTATGCCTGTAAATAGCATATTTCTTGGTCGGATTGAATAATGACCTGATGAAAGTTAATGCCGGTTGCATTTTTGAGTCCGGTTTAGCATTAACTTGTTACTACCCGAGCGCGCGGGACGCATTGGGAAATAGATATTGGCCCGGGGTCGTTGCACTATGGACCGAGGGCAGCGAGGTCCGTACAAAAACGACCGAGGCCAATATTCCCCAGTGCGGCTCAAACAAACTAGCTTAGTTCCTAGTTTATGACATGGCACCGGGACCATGGTTGTTAACTGCATTTGCCGGGCTTTCTACAACAGAAAACGCACAGGTTATTACAGATTCTATGGTAAAATCCCGAACGGGAAAGAACCAAGCAGAGCGCTTAGCTTTACCCCAAGGCTACCTTGTCATGTAGTAAAACCGGTTAACATCATTATTTTCATGCGATTATCTACACGAATAATTGCAGGTGACTGATGACCTTGAGGAATGGATTCATTTCGTAGGGAGCGTATCTATGCAAGGTTGCAATAGTGTGGAGGATTGCATAGTAAAGATGGGCCCACGAGGAGACGCAAAATCCAAATTGTGAGTATTAAACCACGTTTGTAACATGCATGGGGTTTCCCAAGAGCACATGAATTATCTTGTTTTCTAAATTACAAAATGATGATAAGAATCGTAATAATAGTAATAATAYCAATAARAAATTTTTATTATTAATGTTATAATTTTATCGAGCTCATTAAAATTCTTCAATAAAAATTGATATGATAATTTTTCCAACACAAAACTATTTACAATAACGAATCCACTAAAGGAAGCAAAATGTACTTTGCAATGACCTGTTTGAAATGTCATAGAAACGTAGCATAAGTATTTGTAGTTTGTGTCATCGATTGTACGCAGGAAGTGATAGAAGACAAAAGACAATTACTCTGAAGCTTTACGATGCACATTTCACTACTACTACTATTAATTAGGATAATAATAATAATAATCATCATCATCATCATCATAATCATAGTCATAGTCATAATCATAATCATAATCACAATCATAATCATAATATTAAAAATGATAAAAGCCATCAACGTTATAATATTGACTGGCTGTTTTAGGTACTGTAACGAATGTAAAGAAGATACGATGCATCACGTGTGGTCAACTATAGTGGAAGAGCCCGAACTCTTATTAATCCAGCTAAAGAGATTTAACAACAACGGAAAGAAACTGAGGAGAAAAATGAAAGTGACACAGTAAGAATGGATGCATTGTTCTCTGTTGATTGCCTCACTTGGCATACCATTCAATTCCGGATTGCTTTTTTTTAGTAGCTTTCAATCTTTACCGTTAAATCAAGTTGTGTCCTCTTTTATCTCCTTTAGAGAGATAGACGTTTCAGCAGTGTGTTCCATTCAGCCGGGAGATAATCTTTCCTACAGTTTAATGGGAGCTATTGTAAGTCGGACCAAAAACGTACTAGTACTTCAACTTTAATTATTTTGAGGGAGCGGGGTGGCGCTAGCAGTACAAAGAGAAGTGTAATGAACTTTCGCAACTAACCATTTTCATTGAAATTGTCACTTTAGTTACATGAAGGTCAGACCAGCATTTCAGGCCATTGTAAGTAAAGTTCTTTACAATTTATAACCATAATTGTTAACGGCAATTTGGAAAAATAAGTTGACCTATGCGAAACTGACTCTTCCACTTTATCACTTTCTTTCTGCATGTATAGACACCTCGCTATTGAAGCTCCACGGGTGCTGGCACTTATTCGACGATGAACGCATTTCAAAAGTCAACGACACTAATGCGGCAGCGGAGCTGGAAGTATGTTGTGATAATTCCTGCAATATCTATGTTACGCTAGTATTTGACTCTTTAGAAATGTTGTAATGAGTTGTTCGTTATAATGCACTGTCGTACAATTAACAGCGAAGCGCATATTTGCTGTTCTTCGAGAAGAAGACGGAAGTCAAACCACTTTCCAGTCAGAAGCCAATCTGCAAATACTCCCCAATGGAGAAAGGCAAGTGCATCATGAGAACAATACTATTAGTGTACATTTCACATCCCTAGTCACGGTTGGTTTCTATCATTAAAAATGCATTTGTCCTTATTTTTAGAAACCTCAGAAGTTTCTAGCGAAACAAATATATTTGGGCCAGCAGTGGACAGTTCTTCCACTGAGGTTGGCGCAAGCTTTATAATGTCTTGTTTCTTCTGTGATATGTGCGTGTAATGTATGGTGGTTCCACATCCCGTATCATAGGAAATATTTCTGATCATTTGAATTAAAACCAACACAACTACTCCTCTTTATTATCACTCTCACACAGGTCAAAACCAACGATGGCATACGTTGCTTGAATCAAACCATGATCGATGAGGTAAGTTTCTAAGTGTTGTGGCCTCCAGTAAAGTCAGGTTTACTGCAGTTGAATGCC